CTGGGTATCTTTACTGAATTGGTCCCAGAACCTTCCCCAATACCTAAGTCCATGGGTGATCAAATCTCCTGTGTAAAATAACAGTGTTTGCACGTAACCTATGTACATCATCTTCCCATGTGTTTAAATCATCTCAAGATGACTTACAATACCTAAAACAATGTAAATATTGTGGAAACAATTGTTATGCTATATTGTTTAGGGACTCGTGACAAGGAAAATAAGGTGTCCATATTTAGTACAAACACACACACACACACACACACACACACACACACACACACACACTGTTGTAAGGCCTAACTACCTTTTTGATTCTTAGTTGATTGAATCCATGAATGCAGAATCCAAGGATATAGAAGCTGACATCATTTTATATATCACTGGCTACAGACCCTTGAGTGATCACCAAGTCATCCTCGGCTCACTTGTCCGTTGGTTCCACCCCAAGCTCTGCTGCAGCAACCCTACTGTACCCAGCAGCCTAGGAAAAACACCTGGTTCCAACACAACATCCTGCCCAGTGGAGTGTAGGAGCACTTCACCACTCCCCTTACCAAGTAACTAAGGTGATTCATACCTATTATTTCTGCCCCAAATTCTAGATTTGAAAGGATCCTTGCTGCTAAGATAAAGTAATCTGAACATGAAATAAAGAGTGGTGCCTGCCTATAATCACAGTATTCTGAGAGGCCATAGCAAGTGAATTGCAAGTCTGAGCCCAGCCTAGGTAACTTAGCAACTTAGGGAGACACTCCTTGTCTCAAAATGTTAAAAATAATTAAAAGGGGCTGGGAATGTAGCTCATTGTGAAGGCCTTGGGTTCAATCCATAGAACCACAAAATAAAAAGAGAAAGGAAAAAAGGAAAGAAGGAAGGAAAGCAGGAGAAAAGAAAGGGTTCTCCACTTAAAAATTAAATTTCTTATTTTCTAAGTCACCAGAATGGGCTGCAAATATATAATGAAAGTAAAATCATGGACTTGGAGCACATTGAAATGATTTTATTTTCCCACACATAGAAAAAAATTCACTGACTTCCTTACTAATGCTTCAAGACAGGCTCAGTGGTGGCTGAAGGTCAACAGTGGAAATGTTAGCATGCCTCATGGGGGGCTCTGCCCTTCCAAGTCCCACAGAGTCAAAGCTGTCCCACGTGAAGCAGCCACCATCTCCAGTGGGCCAGGTATGGTACATTGCCTTCTCCAAAATGCCGTTGGCAGGTATTCAAGAAAATGCTACTGTCTTTATTTTATAGATAGGCATCCTGAGGTCCTAGGAAAGTAAATAATTTGCTCAAGTAGTAAATAATGGAAAAAGTATTCAACCTCAATATGTATAATGTCAAGGCCACCATTTCCCCACTAGAACATGATGGCATTTCTTGAATGACTCCTGAGGCTCTTCCAGGCCTCCTGCAGATCGCTTGCAGGGTACACCAGCCGAGGGAGGTGCAAGTACAAAGACAAGTCCTGTCCTGTTTCCTGTTCCCTGGCTGGTCATGGCAATGCCCTCAGGGACTTCCCATCCAGTGGAGGCACCTTGCCCAATGCTCACAAAAATGTCTAAGGTCCTCACAGTACCCTGACCCTTCCAGCCTACTGGTCCTTGCAAAATCAAAATGTTAATCATAGCATTATTTTATGATATTTGGTTAGAATGTGATAGCAGTAATAACTTTTCATATATCCTTTGAAGATAACACATCATGCATATACATGTATATGATTAGTAATGATGTGATACCACTAATACTAACTACAAGCACCAAAGCCAATACAATTAAACTGCAATTAAGAAAAGCAATCAGGTATCAGTGAAAAAAAAGTCCCACTCTATGAGCACTCTGTAAAAGCTGAGTACTACATGATATAGTCACTAATAGAAACTATAACTAATAAATATGCATTTTTTAAAACCCATTTTCTATATCATAAGGTCACTGTACAGCAATAGATGATAAATGAGAACTAATTCGTGCTTCAGCAAAAGTTTGCAACGTAGTCAAGTGACAACTGTATTTGCTTTCTATCTCTGCCATAACACAGTACCACAGACTTAGTGGTTGAAACAACACAGATGTATTTTCTTGAGCATTTCCGTCAGAAGCCTGAAGTGGGTCTCGCTGGGGTGAGTTTTGGTGTTGGCAGAGCTGTGTTCATTTTGGAGGGTCGAGGTGAGAATTTGTTTCTTTACCTTTCCCAGCCTCTAGACGCAGCCTAGTGACACATGGCCCCATCCAACCATCACTTGACCCCAGCCTGTACCCCAGGTGGTGGTGGTTCTGACCCTGCCTGGCGCTGATTATCAGCACCCTTGTGATGACCCTAGGCCCACTAAGATCATCTAGAATATTTGTGGAGACATTTTCCCGCTACTACAATAATGCTCCTCAAAACTAATAATTCTCCTTCTAACGATATTCCTGAGTAAACTCGAGCCATTTGCAGGGAAATCAACTTGAGCATAATGTTAAGTGAAATGAGTCATATACACAAGTTTAAATATCTCATGGTTCCTCTTACAGGAGAAACCCAAAATATAAATAAATTCAAGAGCAAAATTAAAGATAGATAGATGATAGGAAACCGAGAAATCTATCTGTTTTTACAAAAGGGAAGGGGACCAAGAGCTGGAGGAAGGCAGGGAGAGGCAGGGGAGAGGAAGGAGATGAAGAAAGAATTGAGTTGTGTCATGTATGTGTACCAACTCACACAGGAATGTAACATTAGGTCCCACAAACATGTACCAATGAAAATTAAAATTTGACAAAAAAGTCCTAAAAAAATAATGTTTAGGTGTAAGACTAATTATATATAAACCATTATGTTAACCATTTATTACTAATAGCATAACAATTTAGACAACATTTGCCAGGAATAGGATGATCACCTACTCCAAATACCGATGCAGAGAACGGCCTTTGGAAATCATAGAAAGGCAGAGAGAGGGTGAGGCCCAGGGAATCTCAGAGAGTCAATCGTTTTCAGGCTGCTATGCTGCAGAGGGACCCAGCCATTAGAGAAGCCCCTCTTGCTCACTTTAGAAGCATTTCTAACTGGGGAAGTTTTCTCCTCGACCACTTCACTCTCCTTTTAGATTTGCTTGTTAAGCTAAGAGTACAGCTTTATAAGAAAGCTGTGTAACTAGTACTCAGATGACATTCTTGCCAAATAAATTGTGTCTCATGTTCTGCCTTGCTTGTATGAGCTCGTTTGCTTTCCTCCTGCAGTGTCAACAGTGTCAGCAAACAGCCACAATGTGACCGGA